ATCAGCGAGTGGTCTGTTTGATGATGACAGCGATGTGGAGACCGAGTCTGTTGGTGGACTGAATCGCCTGAGGCGTAGTACCGACTCTGGCGACTGGCACCTGTACGCCTTGCCTCCTGTCCCGGCGAAGCATCCTGCGAACGGCCGTGCCAATCACTACGATCCATCAGCACCTTAGGATTACTCCGTTCCAACGTTGAGCAGCTGCACGACGTTCGCGGCGAATATCCGCATCGGTGCTTTCTCGTGGAATGGCAAATTACGCCGCTTCAGATGAGTTGGGTATGGGAGGAGCAACTCGCCCAACGATTCGCTCGCCGTATCGATCAGGTAATGCAGTGGTGTGAAGATCTGCGCCCTGGTGCATTCGCCAATTATTACAAGAAGCATTTCGCGCGCCGTGTCCAGGCTTCTCCTGCTGGTGACTGCTTCATGGACGCGTTTCGAGCGGCGCTTTATCATCTTGGTGACCCTGGTCTTGCATCCACGGCTACTGAACTCTGGGTGGACTTTGAGCGTGAACATCCAGGCACTGTCGACAGAGTTTCTCGTGGGGAAGCTACGGAGTTCTTTCGCGTTCTTCAGCGCAGCAATTTTCCGTTGGATTTCGATCTTCTCTTCCATAGTCCACTTGACGCTACATACACGAAAATGGAGCGGTTCCAGGCATTTGTCCAAACACCGCGTGAGGGAGTGTATTTCACGAGTATTGAAGATGGCCTCGTCGGACACTGCGTTGTTGTTCTCGCAAAGGGTCCAGACACTACCGCCTCCGTACTGGATGAAGTCGAACCGCCTGTGACCCCGGAACATTTGACAAACTTGGAGTATCTCCACAAGGTCAAATGGATGGAATTGATGAAACTGATCAAGGGTACCGTTGTCGCCGCGGTAAACGCAAGTCCAGGCTGAATCGAAAGAAAGCTCGCCGCGAGAAGAAGAAGCAGCAGAAGTTGTATGGGATGCAATGCGGGAATACACGTAGGCTCTCGGGCCACTTTACTCTTGACTTTGCCGTTCATCTTCTTCGCCGTTTCCTTCTCCTGGATGCTTCAAAGTCTGCAATGAGATCTGGGACCTCTGAGAGATT